ACTTCAGATCACTCAACCTCAAGAAGTTCCTCGGTTCTTTCAAATTTGGGGGGATTTTTCCACCTCCACAGAGGAGCACAATTTTAGCTGCAATGCAATATGTGTTACCGCGATACACACTAAGCCACACCACAGAGAGCAAGTTACTGCTCCTCTTACCTCTCCACAGAGGACTTAGCCCTGCCTTGCTCTTGGTAAGGGCAGTTTCTGGATTGAAGCTACTGGATTGGCTCAAAGCTCTTGAGAAGTGTTCATCCACTACTGAACCAATGTCTCCCTGGAAGTAAGTGAAAAGGACGCAGCGAGAGTTAAGGTACTCCATCTCAGCGGGCTGGTCTTTCTCATCGTCCTCTTGCTTGCTGGGAAGGGTCACTTCCAGAGACTCCTGCATCTTGTATACAGCTAACTTCTTCTGGGATTAAAAACAAAACAAACAAGACACGTATCACCGATGGCACTCAGTACAAGCTCAACATCTGGTTTCCTTAAAGAAAACTAATGAAATACATTACATTTGGAATACAGGGATATTTTGCACCGACATTTCACAAAGAAGAGATTACCAGTGCCACTTAGAGATTTTACTCCTCATACACAGATGGACCTGCTTCTCAGGCACGTTTCACAACCACAATTTATCAGCAACGGCTTTCACTCAATACCTTCAAAAGAAAACAGACTCTAACAATTCACTCCTGACTCACACCTGGAAAGAATAGTCCCATCAGTAAAGGCTACAGAGGTTGAGCCCAGCCCTGTGGACAGCAGGCCAGACACACAGTGTTTGCATCTCACCCATCTAGCTGAACACACACCAGGTTTTGCCAGCCATGCTTCCTCAGTCGAGAGCACATGGCCCCCTGGACTCTCTACATCTACTTGTTGCTGAAGGCATAGAGAGGGGAGAATTTGGTGCTTCCTGAAAAATTTTCAACTGCATTAAAAAAATTCACAAATGTATAAATTCTCAGTCACTGTCAAGTAAATTTTTTTATCACAGGAAGCTATACCTTGGGGTGGGGAGTAGGCTTTAGCAGGTGGAAAGTGAGGGGTTTTTTTGTTTGCTTAATTTGGGATTTTTTTTTTTTTTATTGGTTTGGGGTTGAGGGTTTTTTTCCCCCTTTTCCTTCTTTCTTTTTATTTTTTATACATCAGCTTCTGAAAAAAACGGACAAAATTCAAGTCAGAAAACAATACATGTGTGATCTGGGGAGAGAGGGGATTGACAAGTCTGCAAACATATGCAAAAAAATCCACCCCAAACCAAAAAAGAAAAAACCCACAGAGAAGTATATAAAAAATAGAACTCGCACAAGCCATCTGTGAATGGCTATTTCAGAATATTCTCTCTCTCTCTCAGATCAAACCTAAATGTCAAAATAAATGCGTGTGAAGATCCATTTTGCATGGAACATATTTTTCAGATGTTCCACTTTACAACTGTTTTCACAGAAAAAAAGTCTCCCTACAACAGTCAAGCTGCAGGAATCATAGCTTTAGCTAGCTAGCCATTTCCACAGCTGACTTTGCACACCAGCAGTTTCAGGAACCCAAGAACAACTACAGTACATCTGTAGAAGTATTTCATATTTTTTCTATAGAATTACAGTTTGACTTATCTTTTATGGTTTGCTTGGCGACACTTTAGCGCCGTCAGAATCTCTTTAAGTTTATGGCCTTTTTCCCTTTTTCCAAAGTTGCTCTAAAGAACTAAACAGCTGCACAGTCTATAAAGTTCCATTTATACAATATATAGGCTTGTCTGATTTAGAATTAATTGAAAGTTGGTTTTCTATCTTGTATACCATCATTATATTTATATTCAGTGCTTTGTAAAATCATATAAGGCAATACAAATTGTTTCATTGTGAAACAAAATAGATCCTCTGGGACTAATTCTTAATTATGAATGGTGATGAAAAAAAATAATTGTAAGAAAGAGCTATTGACAAGTGGAACTAAAATCTATTATACTAAAAGCTCATTGAAATTAAGCAATGTATCTGACATTACAGTAGGTTAACTAATAAATAGAACAACTCAGTAATACCTTTAATTCTGATGGTGTTACACTAACTGCAATGAGGGATGGAAGTAATTTTATTTTACAGTTTGGGATATCTACACAATGGTCTGTAATTCAAGTAATTCTATGCCTCACAAAGCAAGTTATATCGTGATTCTGCTTAGCACAAAAATTGTGGGATTTACTTTTTTAAAAAAAGAACGAACAAAATACAAAAACCACCACATAAAACAAATTCTACTAGAAACTAATTGCTACAAGGAAACATAGTCTGAGGCTCTGAGATTAATCCTTACAAGTGCAGAATTTCAGGTGAGTTATACTTTTTTTTTTGTAAATGCTTTGTACCTTCTGTAAACCAAGAAAAATTTTCCTAAGGTTTATTCCTGAAATGCTTACTCACTTATAGTGAACTTCATGGTTTTCCTAAGTAACCATGAAACGATGAGATCTTAGAAAGACAGAAATGATTATAGCACTATTGTATATACAGGAGATACATGCATTAGAAATCTGTAACACATCTACCTCAGTGACTTAATTGTTCTTAAAGGTGAACCATAACTCAGATCATCTTAAAAATACAGGACAAGTGGTTGGAGAGAGTGTTTGTTTGTTGGGGTTTTGTTTTTTCATTTGTTTTATTTTATTTTTGTCTTTGGTTGTGTTTTGGTTTTGTGTTTGTTTGTTTGTTTTTTGTTTTTTGTTTTTTTTTTTTTTTTTACCTAAAGACAAAGTATGAAAGAGATCCTTTATAGATGTCTAAATTTATATTGACTTATGACATCTCAGGTGCAGTGTATGTGCCAACCTTGAATACATGCAACACATTTAAAAGTTGCCTTCTATCATTATAGATACACTATCTGTATTTATACTGTGAGTATGCAAATACATACACAAGCACAGAATTATATACAGAAACACAATTTAATACAGCCCCTGGCTTGACTTGGTTATCAGGAAGGAAGTATTTCAATGTTCCTATACAGAGACTGGAGCTCAGGAAATTAAAACTTATCTCCAGAGTTGCTTCTCTGTGCAGGAATGTTCCCCCTTCCACAGCCCAAGACTCTAATTCATTTTCCATTTCAACTCTCTTCCCTCCCCTCTAGTCTGTGGGCAGTCATTACAAGATATTCTGAGCACTTGTTTGCTTTGAAAACATCAAATCTTACTCCTTTTTTTTTAATTGTTAAAAAAAAAATAATTACATTACTGATGGACAAATACAAGCTTTTGCATATGGACTGAAGTTTTTTGCAGGGAAAAGTTGTGTTTTGTGGTGAATTTTTTGCAAAGGATGAGAGTTCTAAATGAAAAGAGTTTCAAAACTGCATGAAGCCTGTGACCAGATACACATCTACTTAATTTCAGGAAGAAATTATCAGCCTGTAATTACAAGACTCTTTAAGTAGGCAACTACTATGAGTTAAAGTGACTCACAAACTTTTCCTTGTATGCAATATATATACACCCTTTCCATTGTATACTTCCTTTACTAACATTTGCTCCCCACTCTAACTCCTTTAAATGCTCTGCCTGCACACAAATTCCTTCTTACTTGTTCTGACCTTAACCTTCTTGTAGCATTTCTGACTGCTCCTGTGTGAGTAGAAAACTAAGATCATCAACAGCTAGATTAGTTTGTCCCACCATCGTGGGCTGGGGGAATAAAACAACATAAATGACAACAACAAAAAAGAAAAAAAAACAGGCTAGGTTTCTGATAATTAATCTGGGCTAGTGCAGTTCCACTTGTACTTTTGTCATATAAACAGTTCTGGCATGTATTTAAGCAGTCAACAGTACCTGTAAGATCTTTACAAAGAGTATTTTCTGACCAAACACAATGTTGTTTCTTCCCTATGTTCAGATCTCAAATACTTTCAGATATTCATGAATTACACCTCTCTCTTCCTTAAAAACTAGAGACTGAGATTAAGCAACCTCTGAAAAACCATAAACAAAACAAACACATGAAATCTCATCTTGGCTGAAACCCAAAATACGGAATTAAAAGTCAGCTTAGCATACTGAGAAATGGGGAAATCTAATGCCTATAGCACCTGATGCCAGTTTAGATAATAGACCTAAGTTTATGGCTGAAGGATGAGTAGTACAACTTCAGGGTAAATAACGTTGTTCAGCATGGCCTGAATTTTGCTTAAATCAACGTTATTTTTGTTATTTCATATGTTCACAAATACGTTTTTTCAAGGAGAATTTAAACTCTTAATGCAAGTTGTCTAACAAAAGATAACTAAAGGTCAATAGAAAATTAACAGTAATATGGCAATATTAAAGAGAAGATTTATGCTGGATAAGCATCATCCTGTCTTACGGAGCAAGAATGGTCACTTTTAGACCAAGAAAGTATGTGGTTCAAAAGCTCACAAAAAAAGACCCCTCTCTTAAAATGCCTGTTATTTTCTGACATGCCTTATCCAGAACCCAGCAAAACAGTTCTCATGCAGTGAAATTCTGGCCACATTAAAGCCAATGGCAAAAGTCCAACTAACTTCAAGGGTCCCAGATCTCACCCAGGGTTTCTGTTAAAAATGTCAGAACATTCCTCTTCATGGCATTGGGGAGAAAAAAAAAACCAAACCAAAACAAAACACTTCTGGCTGAAAACAGCTAGTACAGCTAGTAAGCAGTAAAGCAGAGAAACAACAAAGCTGAGAATGAGGAAGTTTTAGTTTAACCACATTTGAATCAAAAATTCAGGCCAGTTCTTATTTTACATATAAGCTGATTGCTTATTCCTACAACTTATTATCTCCATACATGCTGTCAACAGCATGTGGTCCTTTATGTTCCCAAGCATTTAAGTCTGGTGTGCCTGCGGCCACCTGTTACAAATTCTCCATTATAAGAGAAAATAAAAAATAAAGAATAACTACACTGAGGAAACACTATATGACCCTATCCTGAGAAAAAGACTATCATTTGACATAAGCTTCCGAGAAGGAATTTCAGCAACAAATTTGAGGCAAATCACGGACAGTTCTCTATTTGTGGAGCTGTCTGCCAAGCAGGCTCCTATTGATAACACAGAAAGTATTCAAGGAAGAAGACAATTTCAAGCAATCAGAGGATGGAATGCTGGGCCTAAAAGCGGTATTTACGGCATGCCCATAATGAAATGCTAACTTCTACCCTTGCAAATGAGCAAGCCGAGAGCAAAGCCACATACTTGCTTTCAGGTGAGCCACTGGATTTGCAGCAGTGGAGACTGGAGTTCCTGCTACACTCTGCTGATGGAGGGAAGTGGTGGAAACAGAATAAATTTATGTATCTTTTGCTGTACACCTAAAAAGAGGTGTACCACTTAAGTCTAAAGCTCTATTTTATGTAGATAGGAGATCAAATATAATTTGGTCCCAATCAGAATGGCAAAGTAAAGCAAGCTGAATTTTAAAAATCAGCAGTGTCTTCTGGGATTAAAGAAAAAGAGCCAACACAGGTCAAGACTTAAACCAGGTTTTACATCCTGTATTTGAAGAGGAGTCTTTAAAGGTGAGTTACATAGGTCTGATGCAGTTTTCAGTGAGATCAGTAGTAGGGCAACCACCAGGCTTCAGAAAAAGCCTTGAGAAAGCGCTTGAACTACAAAAACTAAATTCAAAGCTACCTTCTGCTGTTATCTGCTGTGTTAGATACTGGGAACTGCGACACAGTATAATAAACCCATCCTCAAAAGTTGTGAGTGTGTGATATAAAGAACTTTACTAAAAAAATAGATTACTGAACATGAATCAGGGTTTAGCTACAGCCAGCTGACATATTAAATGTGACTTTTTCTTGTCTGCGATGTTGTTAGTT